ACTGACCCTCTGACAGTGCGGTGCTCCCTCAGCACTGACCCTCCGACAGTGCGGCGCTCCCTCAGCACTGACCCTCTGACAGTGCGGCACTCCCTCAGCACTGACCCTCCGACAGTGCGGCGCTCCCTCAGCACTGACCCTCTGACAGTGCGGCACTCCCTCAGCACTGCCCTTACCCATTAGCTTGGTTTAAAACCCGATGTGCTTCTCTTGTTGAGAAAACTGAGCACAGGATCTACTTTGCTTGGCTAATGTTAAAACTCACCTTCCCATGTGGACACAGAATTGCCCAGCTGGACATTGAGCAGCTGACCTCTCTGCAGGCCTGTGGGGCTCTCTGTTTTGATGTGAGCAACAGCAAACTGGACTGGACAATCTCAGGACAGGGCAGGTCTCAGTAAATGGGGAGAGGGCTCTAACAGTCAAAGTGCCTCTGTGCAGGTTTTGAAAATACAACGTGGACTTCGGTTGGGGTCACATTAGCTCGCCCTGTGTAAATGCCAGGCTCCTAATTGATGGACTTCACTTCCTGTGAGTTGGAGTCAGAGCAGGGGCAGGAAATATTCACAGACAGGATTGTCCCAAGGGGCAGGCTGCCCAGTAACACCGAACACAGTCAAACAGGGACTACCCATTACCCCTTCCCTTCCTCGCCCTACACTTACTTCAGGAAGATACCACACTTGTGGTTACGATAGTCTCTGTGAGCAACCCAGGCATCCAGTAACATCCTTTTGGGGAACATCCCTTCCGACTGGAAGAGCACAGCAATGTCGTCTGGCTGGAAAATGTTAACGCTCTCCTTGCTTCCCAGCTTCTCCCTGGATACGACAGTGGTTAGCAATAGTCAGCAGCATCTATCTCCCCAAACCACACACCCACCCTCCCCCCTCCCCTCCCCAAACACCCGAGCGCTCTTGCAGAATCCAAGGCAAACCGAGGGAGGTGGCTGTCCCCTGCACCAGTCAACGCCAGGAAGAAATTCAACTGCAGGGGCAGCATGTGAGGCCATATCTGTCCTGGCCCCACATTCAGGGGTTTGTGTTTAATGACAGGGGGAGTTCTTCCCCAGCCACACTCAGGCCAGACCCACCAGGAGGACTAACCCCCACACCATGTCCCCTGGTCACTGACTCTGTGAGACATGGAATCTGCAGAGAGCAGTTCATCTATTAGGCTGCAAGACAAGATTCACAATTCACTTACAGCATTTGCACTGAGTACAAATGTACATGTGGGTGTAGAGATCCTCGAGATGGATCCTCCAACACCCCTCCCTATCTCTGTAGCCTCCAGCCCCTGCACCACTCCCTAGCTCTGTCACCTCCTACACCCTCCCTATCTCTGTTACCTCCTCCGGCCCCTACACCACTCCCTAGCTCTGTCACCTCCTACACCTCTCCCTATCTCTGTTACCTCCTCCGACCCCAACATGCCTCTGTATCTGTCACCTCCTCCAGACCTTAAACCCTATCTCTGTCACCTCCTCCAGCCACTATACCCACTCCCTATCACCTCCTTCAGCCACTACACCCCTTCCCTATCTCTGTCACCTCCTCCAGCCAGTACACCCCCTCCCTATCTCTGTCACCTCCTCCAGCCTCCTACACCCCCTCCCTATCACCTCCTTCAGCCACTACACCCCCTCCCTATCTCTGTCACCTCCTCCAGCCACTATACCCCCTCCCTATCACCTCCTTCAGCCACTATACCCCCTCCCTATCTCTGTCACCTCCTCCAGCCACTACACCCCCTCCCTATCACCTCCTTCAGCCACTACACCCCCTCCCTATCTGTGGACAAGACACTAGACTCTGTCACTGTCCAGTGACAGTGCATTTGAGGTAGTGAAGTGAGCAGGAAGTAATGACAGGGGTTCCAGCAATGCAGGTCTCTCTCGGTACCGCGCACCCCCCCACCTGTAGATGGGTCCCAGTCTGTTGAAGTTCTCTGTCATCACTTGGTGCCTGTTGAAGAAACCGTCAGTCCTCCACAAGTGGTAAAGATTGAGCCATCCATGATCCCCTGCCAAGGGAATGGCCTCATATGGCTGTGCCCCCCGGTGCTCTCTGGAGTTAGGGGGGGCCCCAGCCGAGACGCTGCGGGACCAGCAACCGGACGGTTGGCCATTTGCCTTGGGCAGAAACATGCCGGGGGCTCCCCAGACTTTCTGACTCAACCTCCTCATTGACATGGGCTATGCTGTATGGTCCCACCTTGGAGTGGCCAGAGGCTGGGAAAGGAGAGTTATATAGCTGTGAGGGTGCCAAGCCCACAGAGAGAGCGAGTGGAGGTGGAGCTCACACTTCCTATAGATTTACAGTCAGACACAATGATGAATGGTGGACCATGTATGTGTGTGTTTAGAGGCCAAGGAAGGAGGCCATGTTCTGAGTTGCAAGGCCACTGCCCCTCACCTAGAACATTGACAACATATAAATTCTGGTTCACTGTCTTCAATGCGTCAGTGTTACGCCATGGCTACCAGACTGAGCTATGTTCTCGCAGATATGGAGCTGCCGGTGTTGGACTGAATAACGTCATGTTTATCCAAATTATGCTGCATCTGCAATTGATTTGCCCACTCACCCAACCTGTCTAGATCATGCTGAAGGATCTCTGCATCTTTGTCACAGTTCACCCTCCCACCCAACTTGGTATCATCCGCAAACTTGGAGATGTTACATTTTGTTGCCTCATCCAAATCATTAATATATATGGTGAATAGCTGGGGTCCCAGCACCAATCCCTGTGGTACCCCACTATTACTGCCTGCCAATTTGAAAAGGGCCCATTAATTCCTTTTCTTTGTTTCCTCTCTGCCAACCAGTTTCTTATCCATCTCAATACACTTCCCCCAATCCCATGCACTTTAATCTTGCACAATAATCTCTTGTACAGGATTTTGTCAAACGCTTTCTGAAAGTCCAAATATACCACACCGACTGGTATCCTCCTGTCAACTCTACTAGTTACATCATCACAGAATTCCAACAGATTTTTCAAGCATGATTTTCCCTTCATAAATCCATACTGACTCTGTCTGATCCTGCCACTGCTTTCTAAATGCTTTGCTATAAAATCCTTGACAACGGATTCGAGAATTTTCCCCACTACCGATGTTAGGCTTACTGGTCTATAATTCCACTTTCTATCTATTTCACTTTCTGAATATTGGAGTGACATTAGCCACCCTCCAATCTGCAGGGACTATTCCAGACTCTATAGAATCCTGGAAGATGATCACCAATGCATCCACTATTTCTAGAGCTACTTCCTTAAGTACTCTGGGATGTAGATTATCAGGCCCTGAGGATTTATCCACTTTCAATCCCATCAATTTTCCCAGCACCATTTCTTTACTAATATTGATCTTCCTCAGTTCTTCCCTCTGACTAAATCTTGCATTCTCCAACAACTCTGGTATCTGATTTGTGTCCTCTTTTGTGAAGACAGAACCAAAGTATATATTCAGTTCCTCAGCCATTTCTGTGTCCCCTATTATACATTACCCTGTTTCTGTCTGTAGGGGACTTACATTTGTTTTTACCTATAGAAACTCTTCGCATCAGTCTTTACATTCCCTGCAAACTTACTTTTGTACTGTATTTTCCCTTCCTAATCAATCCTTTGGTCCTTCTTTGCTGAAATTCTAAACTGCTCCCAATCCTCAGATTTATTATTTTTCTTGACCAATCTGTACGCTTCTTCCTTGGATTGAATATTATCTCTTATTTCCTTTGTAAGCCATGGGAGGGAGTGGGAGAGATAGAGATCGGGAGAGGGTGTGGCGGAGAGAGAGAGCGGGAGAGGGTGTGGCGGAGAGAGAGAGAGCGGGAGAGGGTGTGGCGGAGAGAGAGAGGTGGCGAGGAGAGAGAGAGAGAGACAGTGGGAGAGGGTGTGGTGGAGAGAGAGATGGCAGGAGAGGGTGTGGCGGAGAGAGAGTGGGAGAGGCTGTGGTGGAGAGACAGACAGTGGGAGAGGGTGTGGTGGACAGAGAGAGGTGGCAGAGAGAGAGCGAGAGAGAGACGGTGGGAGAGGCTGTGGCAGAGAGAGAGATGGCGGGAGAGGGTGTGGCGGAGAGAGAGAGAGCGGGAGAGGCTGTGGCGGAGAGAGAGAGACGGCAGGAGAGGGTGTGGTGGAGAGAGAGAGGTGGTGGAGAGAGACAGACGGTGGGAGGGGCTGTGGCAGAGAGAGACGGCGGGAGAGGGTGTGGTGGAGAGAGAGACGGCGGGAGAGGGTGTGGTGGAGAGAGAGAGTGGGAGAGGCTGTGGTGGAGAGACAGACGGTGGGAGAAGGTGTGGCGGAGAGAGAGTGGGAGAGGCTGTGGCGGAGAGACAGACGGCAGGAGAGGGTGTGGTGGAGAGAGAGAGGTGGCAGAGAGAG